ATTGAATTCGTTTATTTTTTTAAGATTGTGATTTGTGAATATGTTAATATAATTAGGTTATGTTTTAAGTTTATAGTGTTTTTAATTATTTAAATTTTAATATAGGATGCAAAGGTATTTTAAAAAAACACCAAGATTTAAAAAGAAAGAATTGAGTGAGAATCCAAAGATGTATTTCATATTTGCAATGTAGAACTATTTTTAGTTAGTATTTTCAATAACATATATAAACTTTAATGTTATGTATTATAGAATACTGTTTATTTATTGTTAGAAGCGTGACGGTTGGATATAAATTTTCTAAATTTCGACCCCACGGTTCAAATGTTCTGGGTCCGCCCCTGTAAACAAGCCGGTAAATATTTAAGGCATGCCAAGATAAGATAATATTACAAAGTTTAAAAATTAAGCCCTAGCATATTCTAAGGGGAAAGGGGGAGATGGATCTTCTTCGTAAAGAGCCGGGAGCTTCATGGCGTCAGGATCAAAATTGGCATCCCTCTTCTTGTGCTTTGTGTAGAGAATAGATCTCTCAGCCCTCTGGCCACACCTGTAATCATAAGACCCAATTTCTGTGATCATTCTCTTCCCCTCCGGCTCCATGTACATGACTTTGAAAAAGTCCATGGTGTCTTCCGGTTTGGTGAGAATGGACCGGGCAACTTCCGTGTGATGGAATGCGGCCCAGTTGGCAGCATCAATTGGAAAGGACTCCTCCTTTGCCCGGGTAAATTCTTCAACTTGGGCCAGCGCCTCCTCGAGCTCAGCCACCTTTCTCCTCCCATCCTCTTGCAATTGAGCAGACCTGGCTCTCTCCTTCTCTAGTTTGGCCTTCTCGGCCATCAGCTCTTCCTCCAGCCTCTTCTCCCTCTCAACCCGGTCATTGATCTCCGACTTGGCAGAGTCGAGCAGGAGGTTCAATTGGGAGATCTGGTCCCTCGGCTCCAAGAGTGACCGGCCAACATCCTCTGATAAAGCCCCGGCCTAAGGATTGGGAAAAGATGTATCAACAAAAAGGGAAACGAAATAATTAAGCCGGTAACAAAGTTGGAGATGTATTACCTTGTGGAGTCTTTTGGGAAAAGCTAAGAAGGCTTCTTCAATGGATTCCCCTTCCAGATTCCTATCTTTTTCTTCTTAGATCCCCCCTTGAACTCTTATGGGTGCCCTTTCTTTTTTGAGATTTGGCACGGGAGGAAGAAGGACCGGTTTCTTTTGAAGAAACTTTGGCCTGGACTTTGAGGGAGTCAGCCCGGTCACCTTCGGAGAGATGGGTGGCCGAGGGGGATTCCACCTTTTTGTCCCGGACAAACTCATGGAGAGGAGTACACCGGGCACTAGTAGCCCCATCCATTTCAGACATCAGGGGAGGCTGGTCGGAATGGATGACTTCATCATCAGAAGCGTCAAGGTTGACAAAACCGGCGAAATTCATGTGTGTCAAGAAAACAAAACAATAAGTTACCGGTTAAAAACTTTACCTTGATTGAAAAACAAATATTTAAAGGAGAAGGACCAACCTGGATGAGGGGAACCGGCCTCAGCATGACTATTCAATGAATTAGCCCGGTCATCTTCTGCGTCATGGGTCACGGACGTGCCCCCATCCGGGTTGGGTAACCGGTACACCCAGCCACCATATGCATAAGGTTTCCCGATCACAGGATCACAGTTGAGAAGTTTCTCGCAGGCGTCCTCAAGCTCGGGCGTGGGCTCCGGATGAATCCTTTCAGGTTTTTCTATACGGTCAGCCCACGCAAGGTTAGAAAAGGGAAATTGCTCAGGGGGAAACTCAATAAAAACAAATTTTTGTTTCCACTTTCTGTGACTAGGGGGAGTCCGGTCATAAAACCCCTCTTGTTACGAGAATGAAAGTAAACAAAGCCCGGGCAATTACTAGTCCCGGGTAAAACTTCGAACATATGAAGAAAGAGTTGAAGGGAAGGCTTGATTTTTAAAGAATCGCAGATGTTGACAAAGCAGTGTAAGAACCGGTGGGCATTATGCGTGAGCTGATCGGGAAACACGCAAAACTTATTACAGATTTCGACAAGGAGGGGATGAAGGGGGAAAATTATAGCACCCTCTAGAGAAGTAATGTGAAAACCCAACCGGGTTCCTTGATGGGGTTCTACTATATTACGCCACACGATTTTGGAAGGGAGGATGTAGCCCGGTGGGAGAAAAGAGCGGACGTCAGCCAAGACCTTTTTAGTGACCCTGGAGGATGTTTTGAACACTGGTTCGGTATCAATGGCTAGGAAGCCCATTGATTCCAACCGCTCTTCCCATTCCTCCAAGGTGTGGACCTTTGAGTTAAACCGACCGGGCATTTGGTTTAAGGGAACAGGCTCCTGGACAACTATTTACTGGGCCTGAGAGCTAGGCTTTTGGGAGGAGTGGCGGATTAGAGGAGTTGCAGGGGGAGAAGATGACTCAGACTGGGCAGAGGAAGAGGGCTGAGAGCCCGACCCATAAGATTGGCCAGACACGTTTTGGCTATCATTGGAGGATGACATAGTAATAGCCTACCGGTTAAGAATAGAAAGATTGAAAGAATAAAAGACTAGGAGGACTGGGCAACTTACTTGGCAGAAAGCTAGAGAGAGAAACAAGACCGGTTGAAGTTCGAGATGCGAAGAAGAGAAGTGAAGAAATGGTGTGGGTTGAAGGAGTATTTATAATAGAGAAGGAGGAGGGCCGAAGTACAAAGCGATAGGTGGAAGGAGGAGAGGCTGACACGTGTAGGGCGTAATGATGATGGGGGGAAATTTGAATTTTGAATTTGGAAGGTGAAGGGTTTTGGGGGGAAACTCCAAAAAACGCCAGGCTTGGCACCTGGACTCCACGGATCAAAAAGGACAAGTCAAGGGAAAGACATGATGATTTAAAAAGTGAGAGGTCTGAGAGGAAGACTTGATGATTTCAAAAGTGACAGGTCTGAGAGGAAGACTTGATGATTTTAAAAGTGACATGTCTCAGAGGAAGACTTGATGATTTCAAAAGTGACAGGTCTGAGAGGAAGACTTGATGATTTCAAAAGTGACAGGTCTGAGAGGAAGACTTGATGATTTTAAAAGTGACAGGTCTGAGAGGAAGACTTGATAATTTCGAAAGTGATAGGTCTGAGAGGAAGACTTGATGATTTTAAAAGTGATGGGCCAACATTAATATACTTCCTGCCCTTGATGACATCCTCACAAGGCTAGTAAGTGGAGGACTTCTTGATGGGTATATCTTAATACCCGGCCCGAATTTTCGAAAGGGACATGTCAAAAAGTTGACCGGTCACTTTCTTTAATTACAAAATGAGACAAACTCTTCGAAAGAGACAAGTCGAAAATTGACCGGTCACTTTGCTTAAAAAAGTGACCGGTCACATTTTAGGCGATAGCCAAAATGTCATCTAATGTTACGAAGGACATTCCGGAAGACCAAAGAAATGGGTTGGGCTCAAGAAATGACCGGTCGACCTTCGAGGAAAGGTGATTGGTCATATTCACCTACTTAGCTAATGTTCGGCCACCCTCCCAAGCATGGCACTTAGCTAATGTTCGGCCACCCTCAGGGGCGGACCCAGAACATTTGAACCGTGGGGTCGAAATTTAGAAAATTTATATCCAACTGTCACGCTTCTAACAATAAATAAACAGTATTCTATAATACATAACATTAAAGTTTATATATGTTATTGAAAATACTAACTAAAAATAGTTCTACATTGCAAATATGAAATACATCTTTGGATTCTCACTCAATTCTTTCTTTTTAAATCTTGGTGTTTTTTTAAAATACCTTTGCATCCTATATTAAAATTTAAATAATTAAAAACACTATAAACTTAAAACATAACCTAATTATATTAACATATT